TCTTCCAAAAAGAAGTGAAGTAAAGGATTTACCGCATTTTACTTTAGACCGCCGGACAGTTAGCTACCGCTTCAAGGGGAAACGAAAGTTCACTATTCCGGAACGGCCGGAATACTAGTGTTAGCACGTATATGTATATGTGTATATTCGTGTCTACATATGCCTACATTAGGGCGGATCCCTAATGTGTCAGAATATTAGGGCTGGACATTATTTTGTGGGAATATTTCGACTGATGGTCTAAACATTGTATATCTCTTGAAATATTTGTGGTAGAGCATTGGAACTTGCTGTCGAGATAAATAAAATTAATTCCATACTCATGGGAAAAAATTGGCGGTATTAGAAAAGGTGGCGTGGCACCTCCCATGGGCGTGAATTACTTAATCAGCTCTAACTTCGGAACCGTAAGTCACATGAACTTGAAATTTGGTATGCAAACATATCTATAGTAGATGCTTATCTTAAGGTATATGTAAATGAGTTTGTAAAAGGAGGCGTGGCAGATAACATAGGCGTGGAATTTTTAGTCAGTCATAACTTCGGAACATAAGTCACATGAACTTGAAATGTGGTATGCAGGTATCTACGGTAGGTGCTTATAGTAAGGTATATATATAAATAAGACTGTGGAAGGGGGCGGCAAATCCCAAAGGCGTGGAATATTTTACCAGTTATAACTTCGGAACCATAAGTCATATAAACATAACATTTGGTATGCAGACATATCTATGGTAGGTGCTTATAGTAAGGTATATATAAATGTGTTTGTAAAAGGGGCGTAGCACTTATCATAGGCTTGGAATTTTTTGCCATAGCTTCGTAACCACAAGTCACATGACCCCTATAATTCCTTCTGGCGTGGGGTGAAACCCTCGGGTAAAAGCTAGTTTTCTATATACTTTAGTTAAAATTCTGTTCAAATTTCAAGTCATATGAAGTACATTGTTCTGCAGCCAGCCCTCCTGATATCAATTTACATGCATACTAGCTTTTACCCGAGGGTTTCACCGCACGTCTTTATACAAATATGAAAAAAATGTATGTAAGAATGTTATATTTCATTTCTTCTCGAATTTTAATATAGCCGAGATAGCCTAATAACGTAGAATAGTTGTTTAGCTGGGGTGCTATTAAATCAAAAGCAATAATATGTTTATAATAAATTATATAGATAATAGTTGAAATACCAAAGTTGTATTGTAATAACTAAATTTTAACTATCTAATTTCTTACTCTAATATTATTCCGCAGCACGTTTTTAGTACTTCAATGCATCTATTAACATAGATGTATTTTCCAATGCAATTATCATAAATTTTATTTTCGATAAAGAGTTGGTTTTATTTTAAGGCTGAAGTTTTTTAAATTCTAAAGGCATATCAGAAGGAATTAAAGGGGTCATGTGATTTGTGATTCCCAAGTTATGGCTGATAAGAACTTCCACGCCCATGTTATGTGCTACGCCCCCTTTTACAAACTCATTTATATATACCTTACTATAAGCACCTACCATAGATATGTTTGCATACCAAATTTCAAGTTCATGGGCCACGCTCTCTTTTATATATACCTTACATTAAGCGCCTCCCGTAGACATGTCTTCGTACCAAATTGCAAATTCTTTCGACTTATGGTTCCGAAGTTTTAGCTGATTAAACATTTGCAGGTCTATTGGTGGTGCCACGCCCCCTTGCGAAATTTACGACATAGTTTCAAATAAGACCATACCTATAACCTTCCCGGGGTAAAAGCAAATAAGTCTGCCAAGTTTCGTGCGATTCCGTGTCGTGGCTCAAAAGTTATAAGGTAATAAACAAACAGACATTCACATTTATATATATAGATAACAAGCTAAGCTCACAAAAAATTTCAATCGATCTGAAGAATGACGGGTTTTTTGGGCATGAGCTCTCCGTTTAGATGCTCTGGTAACACCACTTTATATACATACATACTTTACATAATCCCTAAACGTACTACATATATACTATATGCACATTTTTTTTGCGTTTTAAGGTTTTCGAAGCTTTCGAAAGGGGAGAAGTAATTGAAATTAATTTACATATCTATCTGGGAGAAAAAGTGTATTTTCAATGTCGCTGAATCACCAGAGCAGAAAGTGCTACGTACGGAATGCATTCTGTAAAAATAACGAACTATTTTAAACTGATAAACTTCTGCGCCTCCGGCTGCCGAATTTTCACAAACAGCCGAAAATTCATCTCACGAGTGTCAAGTACGGAAAAAATGAATACGCTCCGGCGCTGGGAAACTTGGTGCAGCTGATTCCAGAGTAAGAGTTCATTTCCACCACGCCTTAACTGCAGTTAATGCCTATGGGAAAAGAAAATTAAAACAGCTCTTGGTGAAAGTGGGCTATAAGTTAACCGAGTCCCACAGTTCTCAGGACGTAATGATGAGATACAGAAAATCTTATTGGAATTTTACTAGCATGTATGAATACTAACATTTAGGCGTAGTTTGATTAAGTCCCTAAAATGGTCGCTTCTCTAAGTTTAAAAAATCAACACCCTCATTGTTTTCAATATGCCGGTAATTTCACAACCCTCTGCGTCACGAAAATCAAGTTTTAAGTTCTCTGCGACCGAATTTATATATCCACGTCCTTGCAGGTTCCGCTTAATGTTGCGTCAAATTTTGGTCACTGTAAACTAAGCGATAACGAGAATTATGAGCTCCTTGAATGTCCGTGGGCACCGGATGCTGCTTTTACATTTCCGCCTTCGACTAAACGTAATTTGACATTTCAATTATCATATGTTAAAATGTGTCAAAGGTAATTTTCTACATTTAAATTCAAATGCCATGCTAATATTTAAATTAATATTAGCGGTATTCATCTAAACCGATAGCTTTATCAAGCAGATATTCTTATAAATTTAAGAGCTCTGTTACATGAACGCCCCATACTCTCTTTTTGTATACACTTGCGACAGAGTTACATTGTCTTCAGGTTATCAAGATTATTCAGTTATATCGTTGTAGAAATTTATTTGAAATGTGTAAACGAGTTTCCATACAAATTTTGACAGTTGATTTCCAAAGTTTACACAATTATAATTTTATACGGTTTATAAGGTTTGATGTATACCCTTATTATGTTTCTTTACAGGCATTTTTCAATGTACCTATGGAGCATAGTCCAACACCATTCCTAGACGCTCCTGATGTTTGCAATCAATCACTGTACCTAAAGGTATACCGATTCTTGCAGATAGGGCCAACACTTCCTGTGACACTTATTTCCAGTGAACGCTCCTTCTTAAGCTTGAATCATATTTACGAAGTAAAACTCGGGAACAAAGATTAGATGGTTAAGCTTTACTTAGCATCCACAGAAATATAGAAGTTGCGAATAAAGAAATACTGATTACAATATTTTCTTTTAAGTCGAAGCAGTAGAGAAATGATATTTCACATTTTTCATGCATACATATGTAATAACTCGAATTTATTGAAAACAAGTAAGAAAGTCTAAGTTCGGGCGGAGCCGAACATTAAATACCCGGCGCAAGTATTAAATATATGTTTTTTCACCTTTCCGAAACCTTCCGCTAGATGGTAAGCCGGGGTGTATCAATTTTGAGTAAATTAGCGTCCTTCAATTTCGAAATATTGAAGTTTCAAGCATTTCTGAAATTTACCGTTATATGAGAAGCGGCCGTTATTTTAGTCCGATTTCAATAATTTTCAACGTTTTGCTTATATGTGGCAAGCACAATAACCACACCGAGTTTGGTACAAATTGGTAGAACGGTTACCGATATACTAATATGTGATCATAAGTGGGCGGTGCCACGCCCATTTTCCAAAGTTTTACCATAAACGTATTTCTTGGTAAAGAATTGTTGCAAGCATCAATTTTGAATAAATTAGCTTCAATATTAACTGATTTATCGAAGATTTTGTATTTCTCTAAATTACCGTTATATGGGATGTGGGCGTGGTTATTGTCCGATTTTAAAAAGTTTCGGCGATTTTTTATGCTGTACCAAGGCCAACAGCTGTGCCAAGTTTGGAAGAAATTGCTGCAGCGGTTACCAAGATATACACATGTAACCATAAGTGGGCGTGGCTACGCCCATTTTCCAAAAATTTATAATATTCTTATTTTTCGACTAAAAATTATTGTAAATATCAATTTTGAGTGAATAATCTCCAGTAGTTACTAAAATATCGCAGTTTTCGTATTTCTGAAAATTACCGTTATATGGGAAGTAGGCGTGGTTATTGAGCGATTTTAAAAATTTTCGGCCATTTGGTATGTTGTGCGAAGGCCAACAACTGTGCCAAGTTTGGAAGAAATTGGTGCAGCGGTTACCAAGATATACACATGTAACCATAAGTGGGCGTGGCTACGCCCCTTTTCCAAAAATTTATAATATTCTTATTTTTCGTCTAAAACTTATTATAAATATCAATTTTGAGTGAATTATCTTCAGTAGTTACTAAAATATCGCAGTTTTCGTATTTCTGGAAATTACCGTTGTATGGGAAGTGGGCGTGGTTAAAGTCCGATTGCGCCTATTTTCAATACCAGCCTACCTTGGATTAAGGGAAACCTATATACCAAATTTCGTTGAGATATCTCAATTTTTGCTCGAGTTATCGTGTACACGGACGGACGGACAGACGGACAGACGGACGGACAGACAGACATGGCTTAATCAATTTCTTTTTTTCATCCTGATCATTTATGTATACATTTGTCTATATCTATCTCGAAAATTAATATACCCTTGTGCACAAGTGCGCTCGGGTATAAAAATATAGACATTTTGTACTACCGAAACGCATATTTGGTGCAACTGATTAAATGAAAAAAAAAAATAATAATTTTAAAACCCCTCCCGAAAAAAATTTCT